AGTCTAATTAAAGGCACATTTGATTAAATTGGCTAATTTCGCAGTCTGCTGAGCAGAGCGGGCCCCTGGGTGGGCAGGACGCATCACCTGAGTGCTGGCCGGGGGGGGGGGGGGGGGGGGGGTTGTGTCAGTGCGGGCAAGAGATGGGGGGAGGGGTTTATAGGGGTGCACTAGGGGCATGGATTCCCTGTATGTAGAATTACATGTAAAATTGGGCAGGGGGCGGCCCAAGGTGACATTTTGTCAAGAGGCCTGGAATTTCTAGTTCCACCCCTGGGGAGGGACACACAAACTCAGCACCAATCGTCATACTCTGCTTCCCTCCTCCTTCCTCTATAGATGTCACCTCAGGTGCCCTTCCTCTCACCCCCCCAGTCTCGTTTTGGGACTTAATCCGACGTGTCGCGGCAGAAACAGATTTCGTAAGTTGGTGGTGCTGCAGCAAATCCCCTTGGGGGATCGGGGCGCCGGGTGCGAGTGAGCCGTGCCCGGGGTTGGCGCTCTTGAAGCCCTGGGGCACGAGTTTCTCCGGCAGCCCCTGTGATGTGCCGAACCTGCAGCCGGTGGTTTTGGCAGTAATTAGCGAGCTCGCGGAGATCAGACGCATCATTAAAAGCTGAGGCGGGGCTGCAGCTTTAAGCCTGTTCAGCGGTGTGTCCTCGTCACCTTCCAGGGGCGGGTCTATGATGTTTTTTTAGGGGGCCATAATTCAAACAGAGGGGGCCAACCTTATCATTAGCCAATTATATGTTTTGAATAATTGAGTGACAGAAGAGGGGGCACTCCAGAGACCAATCAGCTTTCAGCTGGAGCCAGTGCCCCTGTGGCCCCACCCCTGTGGCCCCACCCCTGTATACATCCTCAATGCCTCCCATCACCCCCTTCGGAGGGAGTCTATAAAAGCCATAGATGACTCCTCCATAAATATCTGTTTCTCCTGGTTGGAGAGGCCATGGACTGCTCTCTCGACATCTTCTGCTTTCCCTGTGAATTATGGGAGTCTCTCTGACTAAGGCGTAGCCGGGGAGTACTGCAAGAGTGTGGGGGGCGTTTCGGTTGTGCCGGCAAAGCTGTGGCGGTGGGTGGAGCCTTGGGAGTGGGAGGTGATGTTACAGGATGGGGGGAGAAGTAAGGTCACCGTGGGAAAGATTTGGGGTGGCTGGGATCAGCCCTCAGGGGCACAGTTCAGCTCAGGCAGCCGGTCTCACCGGGGAACCACTTTCCATTGTTACAGGAAAAGCAGAGGGCTGTTTTGACATTTATTACCCACCTGCCCCTCTTAGAGCCCCTGACCTGCTGAGAATGTGCACATCAGGTGCGTTCCAGCACTTCACTGCTGTCGTATTCGAGAGCCGAAAGCGGGGAGGAAGATTCCGGTATTTCCCAGTCGAAGTCGGCTTTGAAGAGGCGAGCTTCCAGTTACGATGCACTGCGCACACCCACGGATCCAGGAGACACGACTTGGCATCGCTTTCCTCCACCTGACACATTCTTTCCTCCCCCCAAAACCTTCAACGACCACCCACCCCCACCCCACCCCCTAGGGGGTGCCGTGGAGAACCTGAACGCCGGTTGATGAAGGGTTGCACGCGCCCTGCTCTGAATTTTCGGTGTTGGGGCTCGATGACGGAGCCCCCTGTGAGTGCGGCTGTTTGCGGCGCCATTGTCATGGCTGAGGCCGGTGAATATTCTGCCGTTCATTTGGGGGAGTGGGAGGGGCAGCCGTTTCATCATGGCTGGAGCCTGGCTGGTCATTTCCTGCGCGTTATCGGCAAGGCTGCCCAGTGCAATCAGTGCGTGTGTGTGTGTGTGGGGGGGGGGGGGGGGG